ATTGCCACGACATTAGCTGGTTTTCCCTATTAACGCGGAGCCGTGTGGCTGTGCAGATCCAAACTAAGGCAAGGCGTAAGATGCTGCTGCCCTGGCAAGCCGAGGTCTGGGCTCGCTGCTGCACCCCTGCACCCAATGGCCTGAAATGCATCCCGTGGGAGCAGGGAGCAAGCGGCGTGGGGGGACAGAAGGCTCTGGGAGCGTGCAAGAGGGATGAGGAGGAGCCAGACCTCGATTAAAGGGGCAGAAAGGGGAGAGCAACACCTGCTCATCCCCCCGTTCTGGTCTGGGTTGAGTTTGGGGAGGTACGGAGGGGGTAAGGCAGCAAGGAGGGGGTATGGGAAGGGCAGCGGAGGCTTTGGATGGAGATGTGAGAGCTGCTGACTGACCGAGTCTCTCCGACAGCAATCGGCCGAGCGCTGTGTCAGCACCCTGCTTGACCTCATCCAGACCAAAGTCAACTACGTGGTGCAGGAAGCCATTGTCGTCATCAAGGACATCTTTCGCAAGTACCCCAACAAGTGCGTGGTGGTGGATGGATGGTCCTGGTCCTAGACGGGCTCTTTTTGCCCCTCTGTGCGTGGGGGGGGCCCTACAAAGACCCAGGCGTGGGCGAGGGATGGGCTGCTGCTCCCTCCTGGTGGGACGTGAAGCCACCTGGAGCCTGCTGTGAAGGTGGCTTTGGGTTTTTTGCTGCTCGGGGTTGCGATCACCAGTCAGTGCTGCCCCAAGAGTTAAGCTGGGGGCAGGAAAGCCATCCCCAGCCCCGGGGACGTCCCCAGCCCCACGGTGGCAGTCCCAGATCCAGAGACCCAAACGAACAGGAGACGTCAGACTTTGAGGCCCCTCGTGTCCACATAAACAGTCTCTGGCTCTTAATTCGGCGCTCCTGGTGCTGGAGTGAGGGCGGCAGGAGGAGAGGGGAGTGTTCCAGCTGAGCCAGGATGAATGGGAAACGGCGTGATCAGGAAGTCATCTACTAATAGTGGTAATAAATATTAATGAACTGAATTATAATGGACTAACCTGCACGAATAGCCAGCGACTCAGGCCTGCTGCAGAGAGGACAGAGACCAGATGAATGGGGCTGAGCAGTTAATTCAGCAGTGGGGCTGGTGAGCAGGGGAACATGCTCTGGGGCCGGAGAGGGATCGGCATGGGCAGCGTCACGCTGTGCCACAGCCCTGGGGAGAGGGGACAGCCCCAGGCAGGTGGCAGGGGCTCTTGCCAGTGCCCTCAGCGATGTCCTGGTTCTGCTGAGGGTGATGAGATGTGGTTTGGAGTTATAGCGGAGCTGGGGCTTGGGTTTCTTGCTTTTGGTGAACGTGTGTCCTCTCCTCCGGAAGGTATGAGAGCGTGATTGCCACCCTCTGCGAGAACCTCGACTCCCTGGATGAGCCCGAGGCCCGGGCTGCCATGATCTGGATCGTGGGAGAGTACGCTGAGCGGATCGACAATGCCGACGAGCTGCTGGAGAGCTTCCTGGAGGGCTTCCACGACGAGAGCACCCAGGTGCGGTGGGACAGGGAGACAGCCCCACATGCAATGGGGAGGGTCTGGCCGCCAGCAGGACCAGCTGGTTGAGGGGTGACCCTGTGATAAAGCTTGTGCTAATCAGAGTGTAACGAAGCAATTTGCTCTAGCAGGGTCGTGAAGGTGTTTTCCTTGCAGGTTCTCGGGGCAGTGTGTCCCATAGCGGCTTTGGGTGTAGAACGTGGCCCATGAAATGCCACCACGGTGGTGTCCCGAGCACCTTCCCTTCTTAATAGTTGGGAAGGACCAACTGGTCTTTCCTCTGTGCCAGGACAGGATCAGCCCTTTGGAGCTGGAAAACGGAGTCAGACGGCTGAAATGAGCAGAGGGACGTGCCTGCCCCTTCTGCAGGGCAGCTGAGGCCACTGGGTTTGCCTGTGGAAATTTTGGGGGGTTTCCATTTATGGAAACTTCCTAAAACCCCCTGTGCAAAACGCCATGAAACTAAGTCACAGTGAGCAGGGGAAAGTCTATAAATGTAAAATAGCAAAGCCAGCGATCCTGGCCGCCCTGTCTCAGGTCTAAAGGGACCGTCGGAGGTGAATCACTGCTGCTTATCCTCGTAAAAGTCAGAGGACGCTCTAGCCTTCGTCCTTGTGGGACCGTGTAACCCTGTCCTAAGATCTTGCCCAGTAACCTCTGTGTCAACCTGTGGCTCTGACGGGCTGAGGGTGTGGTAATCGGCTTGAAATGAGCTGCAGACCTGGCTGGGAGCCATGCAGGGTACCCTGGCACTTGTCACCGCCGCTTGAGTGGTCACCGTGTGTTTGGTCCCTTGAAAGGCACCAACCTTGGGATTATGTCCCGGCGGCACGTAAGGGAAAAAATTCACATGTTCTTGCACACAAATGGTGTGAGCTGCCTGTCTGTGTCTCCCTAAGCCTGTTTGTCTGCCCGCAGGTTCAGCTGCAGCTGCTGACGGCCATTGTGAAGCTGTTTCTGAAGAAGCCCACCGAGACGCAGGAGCTGGTGCAGCAGGTGCTGAGCCTGGCCACGCAGGTGGGTAACGGCTCCTGCCTGAGGGAAGAGCTTCCCGTGGGCTTCACCATCCCCGCCCCCAGGCAGCGGGAAAGGCTTGGTAATGCAGTGCTGTGACAGGAGGCGGATAATTGGAGCTTAATTCTGGAAAAGCTGACAGTTAAAGTCCTGGAGAGCGAGGACACAGTCTCCCGTAGCACAGGAGGCATCTTGTGGTGTTTCCCTGCTAAGGCTGGTGTAGCAAAGCAGCGTAGCCTCTGTACACCAGAGGTGTGACATAAATGGCTTTAACTCTTATCCCTGTGATCCCTCTGATACTACAGCAAGACTTAGATGGGGCCAAGATGCTCTGAGTTGCTCTGTAGTAGCAGCAGCTTCCCCTGCCCGATGGCTTCCGCACTAACCCCCGTGCTTCCCGAAGGACTCCGACAACCCCGACCTGCGGGATCGCGGCTACATCTACTGGCGCCTGCTCTCCACCGACCCCGTGGCTGCCAAGGAGGTGGTGCTGGCGGAGAAGCCCCTCATCTCCGAAGAGACAGATCTGATCGAGCCGACGCTCCTGGATGAGCTGATCTGCTACATCGGGACGCTGGCCTCCGTCTATCACAAACCTCCCAGCGCCTTCGTGGAGGGGAGCAGAGGGGTCGTGCACAAGAGCTTGCCCCCGCGAACGGGCTCGTGAGTATCTCCGCTTCCCCAGGGTGACTCCCTGCTCCACACAGGGACTTCCAGGGCTGAATCTGTGCGATGGGCAGGTCGGATGCTGAGCCCAAGCGGCTGTGGGGCTGCTGCGGCCACACGCAGCACTGTGCAGAGCTGGCTGTGTCCGTTGTGCTCGGAGCTGAGCTGAGGCCCCCCTTCCCAAGGGGAGGTTCCCCTATAGGAGTAGGGCTGTATGGATTCAATACTGTCCTTACAAGGCTGAAGGAGTGATCGCAGACCTAAGTGGAAGGTGATCTTGATGAGAATGTGTTGAAGTGTTGGGAGCCATGCTGGGACCGAGTGTCTCTTTGAACGCTCGCTGCAAAGCTCGGCTGGGCGACCCCCAGCCCTCGTGTCTCCAGCGGGACCTATCAGCTCAGCTAGAGCTCCTCAGAATCTCATGTCTCTCCCTCACCCTTCCTTTAGGAGCGAGAGTGCCGAGAGCCCCGACACAGCTCCCTCAGGGGTGCAGGCAGCGGAGCAGCCGGCCGTCATCCCC